ACTGACCTGATAAAGATATTATAGAATCTAATGGAGTAATAGAAAATGAAGATGGCCTGGTTTAAATAGCCCAACAGTGATATTTCTTAGTGAGATATCATATTATAAATGTTTTCAAGTGGGGTTTTTTTTTCATATCTATTAGAACTATTTCCAGGAGATGGACCTTTTCTCCTTGCCTATGGACAAATGAAGTACCATCTTCCACACAAGCTGTTAATTATCAGTCCTGTTGAACCAAAGTAATCTAAATTAAAATCTTAGCAAATGTTTTGGAGGACAGAACTAAACTAACTTTATAGACATTAATTAGATACATATAAAATGAAACTGGATCTTATCTGAGGAATATAGAACAACAAAAGTTGCTTTGACAAGTTCATCCAAGTGAAAACAGGTCTAACAACTCTGAGTTTCGTTACGGAGACACAATGCATGTTTCATATAAAGAGTAGGGAGAGTCCAACTTCTGCTCTAAATTATATCAATCCAACATACTATTCTAAATGCATAAGCCAGAAAATCGAATTCAGCACTGTACTATGCAAAAAGAAGGCACTAAGGAGTCAGTACATATACCTCTTCTAGATAAAACCTTACCTATCTAAGTACCTCAGGATGCAGCTAACTTTTCACTCAATGGTACTTTAAACCAATCTCTGTCACCCATTCTTCTCACCTGAATTTCTTTTTTACCTTCTCTATCATGAGACATGCTGGAATTGAAAAGTATAAAAATTGCATTAATTTTCAAATATAATTGTTAGATTGTATTGAAATTTGTGAGGAAAGCCAGGAATGTATCTACCCAAGAGAACATAAAAAAATGCAACATTGTTCTATGCAGATTTTCTGGGTCCTTTTTTCGTAAAGGCAAAAAAACCCCCAGCTTAGACAGCATTTTATGTTTAAATATTTTATATTTAAATATTTTATGTAGATAGGACAGAAAAAACGTGTGCAGATGAATTTGACATAGTACAAGGGTGTTAAGGATAAGAATGTCAGTTATTCTTGGATGTGTTTTTCTGCCACATAATCTTCTGATGCACTCAAGAGAGAGAAGTACACTTCGGGAAGAAAAGGGGCACACTAGAATATTTTACACTTTGCCAAAGCTCAGACCTCACCTTGACCTCACTTTCCAGTCCTTTCATGGTGCCTTTCTGAGTGATGCCTTGTTCGAGGCCGTTCCTGTCTTTCCAATTAGAGATTTCCGTCTTCCTTTGACAGATCTGATCACAGAGAGCCTGAATGCACTGCTCTCCTCTCCCGAGGTGGGAGGAAATCTAAGCCTGTGTTGTTGTTACAGAATGAGTATATTTGACTTATGTGAATTTCAAAACAAACCTGCATCTGTCCCGGAATCCAGTCAGAGCTATTGGGTCTTTATGATAGCCACAGTGTTATACTGATTCTTGAGAACTTACAGGTCTGATGAAGATCCAGTAAAGAGAAACAGGGTGAAACTGTGGGAAGGGTTGCAGAAGCAGGGTTGAAATACTCTGTTAAGATTCCTTTTCAGTCCTTTAAATATGTTTCTTCCCTCTCATTAAGGGCTGATTTATGCCACAGTTTGGAACAAGGTGCAGAGATGTCAAAGCTGTTGAAGATCTATGCATTCAGCATTTCCACCTCCAGAATGAGCTGCAGAGCTGCTCAAGTTCCTGTACATCCACGGGGCAGGCATGCCCTAATTATCTCAGGGATAAAGAGCGAGATGTTCCAATTTGATACACTAGTCCCTGTGGGACACAGGGGCTAGTTGAAAGCAGGCCTGTTAAACCTCTGGTTATGCTGACTGCTGCTGCATGATCCTGATTGAGGTGGGGCTCAGTAGGGGCCACAGGCATTTAGGCACAGGCTGTTGGTCTTGTTCAGCCAAGCTGTAACATGGGTGCTCTTAAAAAGTACTTGAATGTCTAAAGTGGGGAAGAGAGAGCAAAGGACAAACTAATGGCTTTTATTTAAATTCATCAGCTTAGAAGCCTCAGAAATAGAAAGTGGGAGAAGAGCTTATCAGGGTACTGATAAAGTCATCCCTAGACTAGAGATGGGCTCTGGTGCACAGTAGCTACACAAGGACTGCATCAAATTGCATATCAGACTGAAATATTTGTGTTCATATCACACTGCATGACTGGATTTGGTTGCCCTGGGGCTCATGGTTCCTTCACCTTTTTTCACATCTGCCCAGTCTATTCCCAAAATCCCCCACACATGGCTATCCACCAGGACAGTCTTAGTAATGATTTTACCTCATGGTCAGGAGAGGGGTAGGGGCTGGTCGTGCTGTTTGGTCATTATTTTCAGACCCCGGAGGACAGCAGGTCCCTCCTGCAGTTTCACATTCTACTTCTTCAGTGAAGGGGCCTTGTAAATATAAAAAACATAGAAACATAGAATACCCTGAGTTGGAAGGGACCTGCAAGGATCATCAAAATTCAGCTCCTGGCCCTGCACAGAACAGCCCCAAGAATCACATCAAGCACCTGAAAACATTGTTCAAACACTTCTAGAACTCTGGCAGGCTTGATGCTCCTGCTTTAAGAGGCAACCTAAGACAGAGGAGTAAAAAATTTGATATTGGAGGAAAGGAGATAAAGGGATGTGGAATTAGAATTTCACTCTGGGATTTCACACGTGTTCAGATTCAAGAGTTTATAAGGCACTGAAGTATTGGCACGGGCATTAGCAGTTAGTAGCAGTGTTATAAAATCATGGATTAGGTGTGGCAGAATTCTCATCTGTGAGGGAGTTCACGAAGAGAATAAGGCCGCAAGGAGAGGAAAGCGCAGACTCAGAGAGCAGTTTTGCAGAAAGGGCAGGAAGCAGTGCAGATGCTTCTACAGCGAACACTGTTGTGAACAAAGGCTTCTAGATGGAGAAGTTTCATCCCCTGTAAAACCAAGCAAAGAATGCTTTCAGCACAAAAAGAACAGCCCAGCAACAACTAACCCAGCTTGTCATTTCCTTTATTACGGCTTGGAAGCCAGTTGGTCCCCTTGTGGGACTGAGGCTAGTGCACTCACAAAAACACACTGTTTTCTTGCCAAATGGACACATTTGAAAAAGTTGTTATTTCATCATGACGAGACATTTAATTTGCCTTGCCATCTAACAGATAAAATGAAAGAAAAAAAGGGACTCTAAACCACAGCACTGACGTTCCCAGCTCCTCTTCCTCAGATAACACATTTCCTACATTAACGAGATGGAGGCACTCATGTGTGGTGCAATAAAGACAAAATCAAGCTTTCTTTCACAGTGTTCTGTCAGATCCTTCATGAGAATCTGTGGCTGCATTTTTTATGCTCTGATTCAGAATTGTACTGGAGGAAGATATAAAAAAGAAGAATTCATTATGGACAGACTCATCTGGAGGATGACGTTTCTAAGGATTATAACACTACCAAGACATAATTAAGCAGAGGGCAACATAATTAAGCAGAGGGTGAAAAGACTAAAAGCCTACTAAAGTCTTTGAGCGTTCTCTTTGGCTGTTATTTTTTCTTTCACTGAGCTCAATGGAATGCAGATTTGACTTTAACTGCATGAACTAAATTTGTCCACAGCTTTACTGATGAGATTGTTCATCCTGTTTTTCACCCTAGCATGAAGCTTTTGTTGCTAGTGAGATGAAAACATGTAATTAATCAGGAGTTCTACAATAGCATGCATGCCCTGTATTAAAAGTATGAATCAGGCCACATGGGTTTCTTGTCTCTTTTTATGAAATCTTGTTGTGTCTTCTCTTCCTCATTATCTCTCAGAAATGAAAACCAGGAGCCAAAATTCACAGTCCAGAGTTCCTCCCATGTGGGACTCAGGCAGATAGTACTTTTAATATGCTACGCAAATAAAGCTCTTACAGTGAAGTTGTCACTGCCCTCATACTTAGTTCAGCATGTCAAACTCACGAGTCTCCTAGATGCTACTCAGCTTTCATTTTAAAAACTCTTTAGAACAGGTATTTCTTCCTATTCCCCCCTTCTGAAAAGGAAGATACAACAGTAGACTGTGCATTTTTAGTTTGCAAAAACACATCATGGGTAGGACACCTAAAGCTAGAGGTCTGCTGGGTGGATGTGCAAATTGGAGCGAGTCAACACAGTCTTTTCTTATAGTCAAATTTAAGAAAAAGAAGTTCTATGAAATAGTTAATGTGACATGTTAGAATGGGAAGGATAATGCTCTAAAAATGACTTAATACAAAGAGCCCAGGGTGACAGCTTCTGTCATAGGTATGGATGTCTACATCCTGTGAGATGATACATGTACAGTGCCTGGAAAACATTTCCATTCTATGTTCTCTTCTTTGCCAGTTTCTACAGGATGGAAAATTGTGCACTTGCTCCACAGAAATGCAGCTGAAATTCTGCAGAAACATAAATTAAGACTTTTATCATCCTTCTTCTTTTTCCACCTGTAAACCTACTACAAAGCTTCATTTTATATGGCATCATTTAGAAGAAGTGTAGCTCAAAAACCAAACATAATTAAATAAATATGGAGATAAATCAACATTGAGAGGAAGGAAACAATGAAATGATTTAGACGAGGAAAACAGATACTTGTTCTCACTGGATGTTTGATGAACAAGTGTAAGTCAATGAGGCAGAGGAGGGCTGTTCCAAAAGACTGGAGCCTCAGAGGAGAAGTTCCTGACACTAATAGCTGTAGATGTCTGACATTAATAGCTGTAGATGTGTGTTGAGGTACTGTTACAATCTGCCCCAAAAGGTGAGGGTAACCCAGGTTCTTGTTAATAGATCCCTTGGGATGGATTGGAGTGAAACGACACTGAATGATTGGTGTTTGTAAATACATATATGTGTAGGATTTATTTTTGCAAAGGAAAACAGATACGTAGCTGTTTTGGTTGTTATTGCCTATGGTAATATAGCAATATAAAAGCATTAAAATAACACTTAAGAAAATGTATAGGGAAAAGAAAGAGAAAGAAAGGATAGAAGTAGAAAGATATATAGTTACCACCCACTGGATCCAACGATGAGACTTGGTAGTTGCAATTTCCATGTCTGTTGGTTGAAGTGATGGTTGCAGTCCTGCCAAAGTGATGGTCTTGCTATTTCTTTGCAGTTTGCCACAGTGGACAAAAGTCTTTTGGTGAACTTAACAACACCTAAGCCGTTAACCATTTCAGCCTCTGACAGGCACGCAGGAAAGTTGAAAGATGTGGAGAAGGGAGTGGACAGCAGAGAAGGTCTCTAAAGGGGCACGTACAGACTCCCTTCCAATGGATGTTTAAAATGGAATCCAAGTTGCAATTTAGGAAGCAACCTCTCTCGGCCTGACAGCAGCATGGAGTGAGCCCAGCAGGCTGGAAAGATGGGCCATGACTACAGTCACTGGAAACATATGTAAAAAACTTCAGTACCTACCAGAAAAAAAAAAATAAATTTGTTGAGGCACAGTCACTCCTGCAAAAAGCTATAGCTTTTTTTCTTTGCAGTTAGTTTTGCCTCCAGTTGGTTTATAATGCTCACTACCAGGTTCTCTTCCCATTAATGTTCTTCCAGTGAACATTCTCTGATGTGCACTAAAGGATCCATCAATTACTCATATTAAAGCAGCACCCTTATTTCTTTTAACAATGAGATTAAACTGTTTATGGAAGCTGTTGACCTTGGCTGGTCACTAATGAGACATTTGGTTCATTACCTTGCATTTTTTTCTCTGTTAAACCATCAGTTAGAAGGGCTCAGATGTAAATGCTCCAAGGTCCTTGTAAGATTCTATCAGGTGAGACAAGAATAAAATGTGTGAATAAAAGTTTGAAAGTTTCCAAAGATAGGAAGCTAAAATAAAATATTAGAGAAAAGGTCTATTTTGCTCCTTTCATTGATACAAATCATGAGTTTTACAAATGCATTTTTTAAAGACATCATTTACTGGAGAAAGTGGGCAGCTGAGAAGAGAATCAGCCTTCATGAATCCAGCTATGACTTAGAAACAAAGCATTTGTATCACAAGCAATTAATTCTGCTGAGATATATTTAAATTGCAAATGCAGGAGGGAGATAATTTCAATTCTGCCCTGTTCATCAAAAACTCCACCCTATCCCAAATCTATCAGCATCAGATCCAATCACTAAACATGCAGAACAATGTCATCACAACAAACCTTAATTAGGGGATGATAGACAAAGGGCATGGTACTCTTTCTAATCGAGAGGGTTATGTCCCTTTCAAATTAACATTTCAAAAGGCATCGTATGGAGTTAAAGCCTTGGCCCTTTCCATCAGTTTTAAAGTTCTTTAAATTCCAGACATTACAGAAGGAAGGGACATGATACCTGTGTGAAATTATGAACTGGCAGGCTGCTTGTATAAAACAATAGGTAGATTTCTGCTTTATCAGAGTTTTATCTAGAAGGAAGGAAGGAAGGAAGGAAAAGAGAGAAAATAATATCACTAAACTTAAGAAGAAAGAAAGAGAGAAAGAAAGAAAAGAAAGAAAGAAAAGAGGGAAAGAAAGAAAGAAAAGAAAGAAAGAAAAAGAAAGAAAGGAAGGAAAGAAAGAAAGAGAGAAAGAAAGAAAGAAAGAAAAGAAAGAAAAAGAAAGAAAGGAAGGAAGGAAATAAAGAAAGAAAGAAATAAAAGAGGGAAAGAAAGAAAGAAAGAAAGGAAGGAAAGAAGGAAAGAAAGAAAGAAAGAAAGAAAAGAGAGAAAGAAAGAAAGAAAGAAAAGAGAGAAAGAAAGAAAGGAAGGAAGGAAGGAAGGAAGAAAGAAAAAGAAAGAAAGAGAAAGAAAAGAAAGAAAGAAAGAAAGAAAGAAAGAAAGAAAGAAAGAAAAGCTTAGAAGTTCTTTTGCCAACTGCCGTTCTCTTTGTTCAGTCTATAGAAGTCTGAAATCCCCAGCACAGGTAGGGTGAGGCTCAGATGCTGCCAGAAAACTATTGGCAGCAGCAGCTTCTTCCATGTTCAAAAGCATTTTGACAAGGCAAACTTAGTTACAATCAGCATTTGAATAGAGATTGAATAGAGCAGCTGCTAAGTGGTCTTCTCCTTCATTTCCCTTGATGGAAAGGTTCAAAAGATCAGTGGTTCTAGATGAGAAAAGATCCGTGTGAGATATTATGAGCCGCAGGAAGTAATCACCATATGTCCTGGTAGGTGATCACACATTCTGTACCTAACACTGGCAGAAATAGCATCTCCCACCCTCCCACGCTTTCCTTTTGCCATGAACCAGGAGGGATGTATGCTTATCATTGCTCAGGTGACCAAAGCTGCAGAAAGCAGATGGTCATTTTTGTTTTCATCCTGTCCCTGGACACTGCAGAGCACCAAACCTCCTGCAACTGCCAGAAACATCTCTTGGGGCCATCAGAATATAGCAGGGCAGGAGGGATAAATAGGGAAAATCGCTGAGTGCAGAAAGTGAGCCCAGCCAGGTTCATCTCTGGGAAACTCTATGCCCTGGGCTCTGTGCAAGGAAAATCAGAGAGAAGAATTGATGAATTTAACCTTGGAAAGGAATGCTACATCAGGATTTGTGGTCAGTCACTGAAGGAAAAGTAATTTCTTGTTCTTTTTCCTGTAACTCCTAGAGAAAAAAATAAAGATCAAAAGAGCAGCATATCACTAGTAAAAACCAAGGCTGCTGAGGGAGAAACAATATCATGATCTAGCTCCCTCTAAGAAATAAGAATCACTATTATTTATTATTTGAAATAATGTCAGTGGGGTTGTTTTTGTGTGGTTGGTTGGTTTGTTTGCTTGTTTGTTTTAACTTGATTGATGCTCCGTGAAACTGAATTTTCAAATATTTCCCCATGTGAGAAGACTACATTTCATCTCAAAATGAAAGTTCAGTCATTTACGAAGCAGGACATTAAAGAATGGGACCTTCAGGGAAACAAAAGGAAACCAGTAAATATCAGGAAGTTTGTCATAAAATCACAGAAGCCAATAGCACTGTCAAAATAGGAGAGTGCTTGCACGTAGTGACAGTGTTCCAAGTGCATCTGTATTGGGCCAAAATAGACACCAGGCAACTTGCAGCAGAGCAAAGAGGTGTTCAAAGTGGTCTCTGAACCACTAAGTTCACATATAATGCAGCACTATGTGGACTGGCCAGATCAATTCTGTGTATCAGAGACTGGACCTCTGCTCTCTTTGCAGAATTACTCTGCTGACAGCATGGCCTGGCTCTGTGCAGCCTATGAGAACTCTGATGTTCACCCTTCCAGTCCTGCAGGGTGTCAAAATTCATGTGACTCAGTGCAGATTTATCTGTGCCTGAGGCAACCACTGCAGCCCCTCTTTGCAGTCAGAGATCTGGGCAATGCCCTTGGTGAGGCAGCTCCTCAGTAAGCAGGTCAGATGGGCAGCATTCCGAAAACAGAACTTCTTTGTGCCTGTAGAGAGGATTCAAGGAGAGTGGTTTGGGTTGGAAGGGATCTTAAAGATCATCTCATTCCAACCCCCCTGCCATGGACAAGGACACCTTCCACTATTCAGGTTGCTCAAAGCTCCATCCAACCTGGCCTTGAACACTTCCAGGAATGGAGCTTCTCTGGGTAACCTGTGCCAGGGCCTCACCACCCTCACAGTAGAGAATTTCTCCCTAACATCTAATCTAAATCTCAGGTATAGGCAGCTCTCCGGTACTCAACCAGCTTCAGATGGGAACAATCCACCTTTTGGGGAAGAATGAATCCATGGGGAGCAGTGGAGACTATCAGCATAAAAAGGGTTGTGAAAACAATCTTAGAGGTCTTTTACAGCATTAACAATCCTATGATCTCAGGAATCACAACAGCAACAGCCTCTATTGAGGAAGACTTCAAAGCGTGTGACCTTCTCAAAGTTTCAGACATGCAGAAGTTTATCAGAGAGCTGCATCAACCTCTGTAACCTTCAAGGTTGATCAGCATAGCATTTACTCAACTTGCACTGGACCAAGGAAAAGGAATAATTAATGTTTTCAGGAAAATTAATTTTGCCAGGAGCACTGAGCATTCAGGCACTAACATTAATCTTTGTAACTATTATTGTTGCATTATTGTTTGCTTCTTTGTTTATTGGCTATAGTTATCCCTGACCTTCTTGACTATAAAAAAATCAGGCTTGATTTTATGTAGGCCAACAAGGAGCTCAATTAAAAAATACAGGAGAAAATAATTCATTTTTGTAGCTCACAAGAATTAGTGATCTACTTAGCTATTCTTCAAGGTTCTTATGCATTAAAAAAAGAAGTGAATAAGAATGTGTTATAAATAAGAAGGCAACTAGTGAAATTAGAACTTCCCAAGGCTGCTTGAATGCCCTCTGAAACCAGTGTAGCAAAATGGGAGTGTATGGGCTCATTTTGAGGATACAGGTCAACTTAATTGTAAAAAAATGGAATGAGAATTTACTGCTTGGGCTACAGTTTGTACAACTGCAGGGTGCTTACTATAGCAATAAGCTTTCATACAAACATGAAATGCTTGCAACACTTCAGTTTCTCTACAGAAATAAAGCAATCATTTGTGGAAAAAAAAATGCCAAAGGGCAACTATTATTGATCTACATAAGGGAACATTTCAGGAGAGAAAAGAGAGCGTCATAAGTATAGACCGGTTAAGATATTTGGAAGTTTGATTGTGTCCAAATCTTCCCCCTCCCCTCCCTTTGATATTCTGATTCAGAATACTGACATTTCCATCAGCTTGAAGGCTCTGGAAAATATGAGATACTGAATCACTGTTCCTGGTTTTCGTTCAAAACATGTGGATCTTCAGAAATTCAAATATTTCTCTTCAGCTTATTGAGCTAAGTTCAAGGACCACTTCATTAGTCTAGTAATCCCTTCACCCATTACATGGTTTTTAGGAGCAGTAGTCAGGGTGCCATCTCTTTTTGCCTTTTGGCAGCGCTCTTTGTTTGGATTGTGTCTCTCAAAACCACAGTTCTTATGTGTTAACCAGTAAGCAGAGCTTTGGCTGAGACTGGAAAAACTAGTTTTACTGTAGGTTTGCAATCTAACAGAAAATTCATCATGTGAGAGAACAAGGGTACTAAAGTACAACTCCAGAGGGAACTATGGCACATTATGTGGATGCACATTAGCTCTGAACTAGACAAAAGACAAAATGCATTGGGTTTTGGTTTTTTTTTCTTAAACCATTATTTATCAGTTTTAACAAGAGAGATGAGAATGGTAGGGGAAGACTGTGTTTTATATTCAATTAACAGAAGTAAAATGGAGAAACTTTCAGATGCTTAAACCTTTCTTCAGGTCTGAAAAAGCTACCTTAAGAAGAAGTCAGACCACACACAATCTATGGACCTATTGTATGTACCCTGATCACTTGAGACAAGAAGACAAAATTTGTCTTTGCTTTTAGAAGTGATATGCCCTTACAATTGTACCAGTCACTTTCGGGGTTGTTGCTTTTATAGGGAATCTGTCTTCTTCAGGAAAAAGCAAGATAAGGTTCAATCAGCTGAGAGGCTGTAAATCCCTTATCTGACCCAGTTGGGTTCACTGCACAAGGAAAGTGTCCAAATATTTTCCTGAGCTCTCTGGGTCTTTATGCCCACACATTCCCTCCAGACTTCATCAGGTTATGTACTTCCCTGGCCTGAAGCTTCACAGTCGCCTCCTCCTGTGTTAATGTCATATCTGGTCAGTGCTGCCTTTATCTGCAATTGGTGCCACTGGTCATAACTGAAAAAAGAATATAAATTACTCTATTTATTGTTGAGATATTTTGGATCTTTTTTTAATTGATGAGGTATTGTATGAGTAACAACTTTGCTTATAGAAGACTTCCTGATGTCCCCATTCATGCTTTGAAGGATAACAAATAAATGATCCAGCAGAGGACCAAGAATCCTGTTCTTTATCTGGAACCACACAGATGGTTTCTGTATGCTAAAAATTTGTATAGCCTTGAACATTCTTAAAGGAAGTGAGTTCTTCACAGACAACTGCAAAATTCAGGTGAGAGTAGATTTGAGGATAGATAAAGAAGTTAAAAAAATCCAGAAAATCATCAGAGGAAAAAGGATTTTGGAACCCAGGGAGAAGTAAAACAAAGTGGAGGGAATGCAGCACTGCTGTTTCTGTCCAGGAAATGAAAGGAATGAAATGATGCACCTGAGAAGGACACATGAGTGGATGTACTAATCAGGAGCAGAACTGCTCAGAAATACTCAGATATTCTGACTTCATTTGTCATTTGATCACAATCAAGCAATTTGTAGGGACTGTTTAGCTCAGACAATGTTGCTCCATAAATCTGGAAATGTTTTGATGAAAGCTTGCTTGGCTTCCTGCCTAGCCATTTCTCCAGAACTGTCACAGACCAAACATTACGGGTAAACTTACTGATAGATTGACTCAGATCCTAGAAACCAGACTCTCCTAAATGCCACAGATCTTTTTCAGTCCAAAGACCTGAGATCATCCCATTTAATCAGGTTTTGTTTTGTTCTTAATCAAAAAGAAGAATACATTTTAAATCATTAGAGTCGTCTTTGAAATACAATTTCCCCACTAAACTCTGAATAGGTCAATTTTATGGAAAACAATGAAGGAGTGTCTGGGATAGGTCCTATCAGTGCTTATTGTTCCCATTTTTAGACCCTGCAGTTCTGGCTTTCACTCTCTTCAGGGCCCTTCTGGGCTCTGCAAAGACCTAAAAACTGACCAGTGCTTCAGCCAGGAATTAAGCTGCGGTTGAAGCTGGCTAGGAAGTGAGTAGGAAGGTTGTATGTGTTCTGAGGATTGTTCTGCAGCCTCCAGGGCAATCAGCACAGAGTGGCTCATACCTCTGTAGGTAAGACTCGCTTGGCATCCAAACAGAGCTATATCCAAAGTGGTCATTGGGAAAAACTGTTGGGAACAGATAATACAAACATCATTTATGAAATCAAATATGCCAGGACAGAGATCTCAGCCATGGCACATGGCTGTCACTAAAATAGTTCCTCTTGGTGCTGTCACCAGTCAACATTGCTCCAGTGCTGCCTGGACACAGGCACTAGCCCAGGCCAGAAGTAATCTCAGTAGGAATCTCAGTTATAATTTTTTTTTTTTTAGGAGTCTGAGAGCGTTTAACAACAAAGTTGTGTCCAAGAGATGCCAGCTGGCTTTGGGGCCAGTGACCAGGCCCTAGTGCTCCTTATTATTAGAAGTGTAGCCAGTGCAGAGTCCACCCCTCCAACCTCTGCCCCCACCATGTCCTGTATGTATTTTCCTCAAGATCCTTACATATCATCTATCTTGCTGTGACCTACATATCATCCTGTTCCCCAGAACCTCCGGGCTCAAAGAGCCACCTTCACAATCCTGTCTCTGTTCTCCACCATCCAGAGTTCATTCTATGCGGAGTACTTTCCATCCCCACATATACCAGAGACTGTGCCCACAAATTCTCATTCCCTTATTCATTCTGTTTCCCCCTTCCTTCACAGCATCCTCTTTTTTTCTTCTTTCTCTCTGAGATCCATCATTTAGGGTGACAACACTTTAAACTGTTGGGAAACAGTAACACTGAGACAATTTTTACACTGGAAACTATCAATATGTTCTGTCGACTGTTTATACAATATAGAGGCAGTGACCAGAGCTGGCTAGAGACAGGATTTCAGCACGTCTGTCTAACACCAACATCTTCCTCCTCACTTCCCACACTTCGCCAAAATCAGCAGGCTTCTGCTTATATTAGATGCCCTCGGATATTCAACCTGTTTTCCATCTGCCGGATCAGAAGGATATGGGTATCCATACCTTCCAAGCCCATGCAAAGAGCTCAGGCATCTCTTGGGCACCTCAAATGTGCAGGGCAACTATGTGCCTACAACAGAATTGATCACTGAAAGTTCCATTGACTGCAGCAAGAGGTAAGACATATGTTGTACCTATAGACACTTACCTATGGACACCTGATCTTTGCTTTAGACTGAACTGAATCACTCTAAAGCTTCCCTCCAGTATATCATTTGTAATGTGCTGGTGCCCTAGGTAACCTTGGGCACCACAAAGGGCACAAACATCTATGTTCAGGCAGTAAAATCCCATTCCTAGTGCTCCCATAAACAATTGTATGTTGACAACCAAATTCAAATCTCTTATCTCAAAGAGAGTTAAACCTTTGAGGTCAAAGCTAACACTACAAATCAAGCCTTTTAAATGCTTTACAGATCAGATCTTAAAGCATTGTGTCTTACATTTTCATTGGCTTTCCCAGTATCAACAACCCAGCTCAGTTAAAACTTGTGGTTTCCAAAATAAACCCTTGTTTATCTTACTAGCAAAGGAAAACTATGCTGCTATGCTATGTAAATAAGTAGTTAAATTTCAGGGTCAGGAGAAGAAGAGACAAGAAGGAGAAGGAAAAGAAGGAGAAGGAGAAGGAGAAGGAGAAGGAGAAGGAGAAGGAGAAGGAGAAGGAGAAGGAGAAGAGAAGGAGAAGGAGAAGGAGAAGGAGAAGGAGAAGGAGAAGGAGAAGGAGAAGGAGAAGGAGAAGGAGAAGGAGAAGGAGAAGGAGAAGGAGAAGGAGAAGGAGAAGGAGAAGGAGAAGGAGAAGGAGAAGGAGTGAGGTTTTCTTCATCAATGGGCAGTGCCACACTGGAAAATTTTGTCCCAAGAGTTTGTGCAGTCTCTACACTTGTAAGTTTTGAAGACTTAATTAAACAAAGCCAACATATCTGATCCACTGTTAGCAAAACTCCTTTCCTGAGTCAAAAGTTGGACTATGGACTTCCAAGAGTTAATCCAACGAATATCTCTATGATTCTATGATGTAGAATGTAGAATACAGAAACCTAAAATTTCACATACAACTTCAGACCCTTTGGAAGACCACAGGACAAATTTTACCCTTGGATTTGCACTAATATTCCACTGATGTTAATGAGAATTATGAACATGTAGCTGAAGATGAAGTTTTGGCCCCAGAATGAAGATTCACATGATGTATTTGAGACATATGTCAGATTTTTCTGAAAGATTTTACAAGTGATATTTTTGCTGAGAAAGGTCAACTGACAGGCATCTTGTTATTAACGATAATTTCTAATAGAAGAAATCCTTTCCTCTGAACTTAAAAGGACATTGTAGTGGAACTTGGAACCTGTGGCTAACCAATACCATACATCTTAATAGGGCTGCAGATCTTCCTGGGGGAAATGCTATAAAATTTTTAAAGCCAATTTATTGAAGGAAATTGCAGACAGCTTGAAAACATCCATGATCCTTTATCCTGACACTGGCTTGTTAAGATTGTGCCATGACTTTGTGTCACTGTTCTTCCTTATTTTGGTCTTTCACTTTATCTGACTTTGGCTTTCATGTCATGTCTTATGTATCACTTTTTCTCTTCTATCCTGCCATCACCTCCTCCCTTTTCCTATTTCAGGAAAATAGATCCTATGACAGGATCTATTTATTTTTGTCCTGTGTTTGCTCTGCACATGCAATTAATGAACAAGAATTGTGGGGGTTTCTTCATATAAAAATTTATTTTCCCTGCAAATGTCATCTCACAGGTTCCATTTCACAGATTGGTATTAGGTAGGATATTTGAGTTAGGCATTATGAACCTTGTGGGTTTGGAGTCTATGGCACACTGTAAAGTCCATTTCTTCTTTCCTTCTTAGTCTCAGCAGTCCAAATTCCTTGTCCCAATGCTTTCATTATTTTTCAGTTAAGGTGACAAATGAATCAAAATCTTTCTATTCTTTTCAGAAAAGCAAGCTGTTTTCAGTGTCTGTCTGTGTACAAAGCTGCCATGTCATGGTTCAGTTCAGCTGATAGTGAGGACACCACAACTTTATAATCAGGTTATTTCACAAGACTAAGGACCATGGTGAGTTTTTAAACTTCATTGTTTTCCACCTGAGGAAACAAGTTTCTTAGAATGATAGAAAAGTAGGTTCCTCCAAATTGTCAGGAGGGAGGAAAAAAAACACTCAAAAAAAAAAAAGAGACAGAGTTAACTAAGTGATATTTTTTATTATTATTTACAGCAGATGAATACTGTTTTTATTGTCCTGATCTATTGTCAAATTTCATTTGGAAATATTGAAAATTTTTACTCAAAAGAAATAATAAGTCAGAGATGGAGTCTGAGGAGGTATAATACTTTACCCCTTGAATAATTTCTGTGAGAAAAAAGTCCCCAAAAGTAGCTAAAAGCCACACTTAATTTCACTCTTTCTTTCACCCCTTCCCATACCTCATCCCAGAGAAGCTTAGGAAACTCCCTTCCATGATCAGGGGCATCAGTCTGTTCCCATGAGACAAGGGGCTCCCCTTCTGTTACTGGACTTCCCCCTTTCTGAAGGAGAACTCTAGTTATTGCATGGAACAGACTTTGTCAGTCTGTAAGTGGTACTTTAATTTATCTTTCAAGTGTTCCCACTTTGCTTGAGTCAAAACGCTCCAGAAAGAATAAAAAATTTCTTTTCCTTTGAGTGATTTGTATTTTACCACGAATCATAAAGTAAAAAAGAACTATGAGCCACCATAACATTTCCACTCACCTTAAGGCAAATTCTTTCCTCTGGTAGATCAAGATTTGAATTCCAGAAATATGCTTCATTTTCCTCAGGATAAGAACAAATGTGAGTTACTCCAGACCAAAAGATTAAAATGAAAGACAATTATATTGGATTTCCAGCTACTTAATCAGAAAATGCAGAATTGTCTTCTTACGCCAATAGCTTGGGTTGTGTCAAAAAAGGAGCCTGAAAAAATATGTCTGTGATCATGTTTAAATGGCAAAGTTGCAGGGAGAAAAAATAGCATTTTTATTTAAAATGAAAAAGAACATTAAGAAATTCCAAAACCTAAGACATTTTCAGAACTCAGACATTTTATTTTTGCTTTGTCTCCTCTCTTTGACTAGCATGTAGAAGAAAATAACAGTCCTTAGTTTTGATGGGTAAAAGGAGGGTTTTCAGAACTGAAAGAGAATGTTACATTTCTTTTCAATGAGATTTTTCAAAAAGGTAACATTTTTACAGAACAAAAAGAAATGTACAAAGGTAATAAATATTTAAAAGCTCCTCAGTGATTGATTTAAAAAATTGAGTGTTGGGAGATTTTAAAAAGTGCTATTTATTTATATGAGAGCATACACATACATTCCTACTTAACAGTAGGAATGACCCAGCATGTGTAAAATAAAGCATGAGCAATTAAATCCCTTTCCAACAACCTAGAAAAATATACCTCAAGCACTCAAAAGAGTTAAAGAGTGATTGCAATCAGGGGAAGAAAGGACAGTCCCAATACTTATTCTCCATTTTGTTTGATCCATCTCAAAGCATAAATGAGGCATAAAAAATCTGTCCATTAAGGACAAAGTTTGCTTGACCTCATTATTTGGCCAGGAAAGAATACTGAAGCTAAAATACCCTGGTTATTGGGAAACATTTGCATTCTTCAAGAACTTTGCATGGTAAAAAAAAAACAACTGTGAAGAGTAGTTTAGGTGACCCTCAGACATTACAACAGTTGTACTAAGTGAACAGGTACCCTGACATTGAGAGTAGTGGCAGGCAATTACCCTGACGTGCAGAATTTCAGCAAATACTGGTTATATGTGTCTTCTTCCTTATGGGTAACCATTGTTTTTCATTAGTCTGCAGGAAATAGCTTGGAAAATGTAGAAAGTCATTTTGAAAATTATTTTAGCTGTACTCTAGAGTGGTGGTTTCTATACCACAGTGCTGCTACCACCATGGAAACTACACTTAATTAAGTTGTGATCTTCAGCCCTATGACTGGGAGGGGGAAAATCCCATAACAGACTGAACCTGGCTGGGTCTGTGTCACATAAGCAGCTGGAGCACCTTGAAGCATCAGAAAACATTCACAGAAAAATTGTAGAAGCTGATGTAAAATTGTATCTCAAACAGGAAACCATACAAGTAAATCTGAAATTGTCAATTCCCTCACAAAAACAGAAACAATGAAGCGTTGTATAATGCTGATGTTATATCATAGTAGTGGAGAACACATAACGTCTCTAGGTATTTTGAGACCATTTTGCAGCAAGAATTTTATTTGTCTCAAAAATCCTCACTTAAGTCAAGATGTTCTTGTAAAATCAGTGGCAGCACTCAAATAACCAAAAAGAGAAACAAAGAAAAACCTTGTAATTCTGAATTATGGTAACTTGTTTGCTCAACCACATCCTATTTCCTTTATGGGATAAAGAGGGACACTGCATGTTGACAACAGAAGGAAGGTGTCTGAGTCACAGGAAGGAAAAAAAAATAGGCATAAAGAGTCTTTAGGATAGATTGATGCCAAAGACCCCTCTTTCGTAGAAGAAATTTTGTTATAGCATTTCAGGCTACAGTCCAGTTTCAGCATTACTTCTTTTAATTTTCCAAAAGTTTTCAGGGTGATAAACAAAATCCCTCCTCCTGACCATGCTGCAGGACTCAATCCTGCTTCTGGACTCAGAGGACTGCGGATGGGGAATCCTCCTGGCTACCAGACTGCACATGCTTGACTGGATCAAGCTTCCTGGCATCTCCTTGCCAGTACCCTGTCCAGGCCTTGCAGCATCAGCAGTTTCCCATCACTTCCCAACAGTAATTAGTTTTTTAACTGAGCTTGGGTGTTTTATTATTTCCTAAAACTATATATGTTCTATTTCATTTAAAAGTGAATGAGGAGAGGGGGAAGTGCCTCAGTCTACCCCCCTTTGTAAGTAAGGCTGAATGTCCATGACAACATCCTATGGCCTTCTGATCCATACATCAGCAAAATTAACCAGACCAGCCCAGACTCAGACCTGTGAGGTACGTCCTGATCGGCTCAGCAGCACCAGCCCTGCTGGGAGGGGAAGGCAGAGCCCAGCTTGTTTTGCTCCTCACACGGCTGACAAGATAGAGGTAGGAGAAGGACCCCCAACTTCTCCACCCTGCCACAGAAAAACAATGATCCAGCTGCCATATCTGGAGGACTCCAGTAGCAGAGGGTCCAACACAGCAGGCGCCTGCAGCTCCCATCAGATCCCTGGCATGGAAAAGCTGGCAGACTCCTGCAATGGGACTTCAGGGAGCAGGAGATGCTGGCAGGGCGCACCTCTGCGGATCAACCTCTTTTCGCAGGCAACTAGACAAGGGGGAATGGCCTCAAGTTGCACCAGGGGAGGTTCAGGTTGGATATGAGGAAAAATTTCCTCACTGAAAGAGAGGTTAAGCATTGGAACAGGGTCTCCAGAGGAAGGGTGGAGTCCCCATCCCTGGAAGTGTTAAATAGAGAAGCAGACATGGCACTTTGCCATACAGTTTAGTGGCCATGGTGATATTAGGTCAAAAGTTGGATTTGGTGATCTTGGAGGTCTTTTCCAACCTTAATGATTCTATGATTCAATGATTCTCTCTCTTGATATCCTTTGAGGACACTACCAGCCCTCACAGTCCCCTCACCAGGAGTACATTCCTGTGCCCCTCAGGCTTTTGTCTCTCTTGCCGTATCTAAAAAGATAACTGAATCTAGACAAAACTGATCTGTTTTCAGCACTTGGTCATACTAGAACAGAAGGTCTTGTGGCAGCCAGCACAGACACCCCCTTCACCTCCAGCACTATTAATTTTCCCCCCTGAACATGGACAAGATGGCTGCTGACGTGGCCACTGCTCCTCACAAAATGTCTGCCATGGTGACCTGCCCTCACTGCAAAATGGCTGCCACTACAGTCACCACCAAGGTTCAGATGGCTTGTCACTATTTTCCCTGCCCCATGCCAGGAGTTTATTCTCTCTCCTGTCATAGTGTGGTCTCTGCCTGCCCTACCTGCTGAAGGGCAAGCATGCCTAGCGCTTCTCTTTGGGGTGCCACAAGGACAAGGTGGGGAGGAAAGGTCACAGGCTCCCAGGCTCACTGTCACCTTCCCTCACTGCAAAGGTAATCTAGTGAGCTATGGGAGATTAAAAGATTACAATTCTTGATGTTATTAGTACGGAACAAAGGAGATGAGGGAATGTAAACAGCCAGGGAAAAAGCACAGGGGAGGAAACAGAGATGGAAAGTGAAAAATAGAAAATAGGCCAAGAATAAATTTGCTTCTTAAATTCTGCTGAACTTAGTCTATTAATAAGTAGACAAATCCGTCAAATCTGCTCATCTGAATGGAAAGTTTTATATCAGGCTGCACATCCCCAGCAGAACTTAACACAGGCTGTGAAAGGATAAGGACAGTGAAATCCCCACACGGAAAAAGTCAGCAGTTATTGATTCCCTGTTCTGAGGGGGAGCACGGCTGACAGCAGTGCAAGCTGTCCTGGTTTGACACTGGACACTACACAGCTTTTTAACGAAATCAGATGTGTGCAAACCAGGAGGTGGTATCTAGGAAAGACTAATGCCTATGCTTGACTTGACCAAGGGGGAACAACCACTGAAGTAATTGCAGTGGAAATTAAACTTGTGAAGTACAAGTTAATCTTGATATTTTGATTTTTTTTAGGGAACTCTTGAGTGTGTTTTTCCCAAAGTGCCATTTGCTGGAGGTATGCCATTAGATGTTGTTTCATTCAAGATACATGCTTCTAATCTTACAGGCGAGAAATAAAGGATAACAACCTGGGCTCAGTAAAGACATTAAAAACAAGCAACATCACGACCAAGCCTATTATAGTGTTGTTTCTTAAATGTTATGACTGCTGGAACCTGAACCATGACTTGCAAATTGTCAAGGCTGTTATCACTCTGCATTTTCTTGTCCAGTCCTTTGTTATTAAGTTATACTGCTATACTTAAACTGGAACATTGAACCATCCCTCCACAGAAACTTCTCCCAACATCTCCCAGATCTCGTCTCCAGAATGAACCATCTGAGGTGACTCCACAACAGAATGGCAATTCTATTGTATTCCAGATTTTGGTCTTTCAGTCTTTCTTTTCCAAAGAAAGTTTCTATTGCAAAGTTTCTGTCTTTTTACATGTCTTTTTTTATAAAAGTATTCACTGGAGTGGTTGATCTCACCAGACACGGGTAGGTGAGACTCTGATACCCGGGGTATGACTTAAGCTGAGGCATCTACTGCTATTTGAAATGTTGTGGGCTATTTTGTCAGCAGGACACCTGATGGGACAGAAGGACACGGGTCCTTCTGCAGGCCTTTTGTCTCTCCTGCTAGTCCCATGCAGATTCAGATGCATGGTGTGATATTTTTTTAGCTGCATTGTGCACAGCCAGGGCTTGGCATTTATGATCCTTGTGGATCTCTCCAGGACATTCCACAATTCTGTGATTTTTGGGATACTCGAGCATACCTCAAATGGTATTAGGTGCCTATTTTATAGGCAGCTGTGTGAAATCCCTACAATTTAACTAAGCTCAAGATTAAGACACCTAAATTTAAGTGTCTAAACTAGGTGGGTTTATGGACACTAAGGGCATAAGCATTTATCAGCAGAAAACTTCTTGTCAATAGTGTTTGTGTAGCCTAAAGAACCATTCAGCTGGATAGTTAGGAGGGGCTCAGTTTGGGGATGTGCCTACAAATGTTGAGCATTATTAAGTATTCCTCCGAGGGATGTTCTCCTTTTTCCCTTTATAGTCAATGAAGAAAAATTGTGAAATCTAGAATTCATCTAACCTATTTTGGATTACTATTTTTGGATGTGATTGTTTGCAACCTAGAAATGTCTTTTGTTACCACTGTCTATGTCAAGAGTCTATAAGAATACCTCAAAGGCACATAAGTACAGAATGGGCATCTGGGGTTATGTGAAATGAATCCCACACTTTGAGTCATGTTGATTTGTATCTCATTTTCAAGCCATCCTGTATAGATCAAGATTATCTTCTAAAGGCACAAAGCCACAAATTTTCAAGGCAGTTAGGAGCTTATTCTTTCGCTTCAAGATAGGCTGGTCTAAACCAGCTTCAAACTAGAAATTGAGCATTTTTATTGCAGTTTTAATAGTAGGACTATTAATAGTAGTATTAATAGTAGGACTAAAAATGTCTAATAATCTCTGCTGATTGACAATGAAGGAGGGTACAGCACTGTGCTAACAGACACCTACAACTTGCTGTTTAAGTTGGTTTGCACCCAAATCCTTTGTCAGTTCACTTCAGACTAAAACAAAGATTGTCTAGATGCACCAAAAGTACAAAGGAATATGTTCAAACTCCAATCTTAGGTTTGACCCAAAAGTACTGAATGAAGTTCTTCTCAAGGTTATATTCTTAAAACCTAAGGTCCTCTCTTGCTCTTTCTAACTTTTAATTCTCTAGAGGATAAGAATTTCACAATATACAGAGCTATGTGAATTGGTTTTATTTTTTTTTCTTGAAAACACAAATCAAAATGTTAGAGGTATTTTAAAGCCTTTGAAGATTTGGACCTCAGTCTTTTTAGATATATTACAGTTTTTCTTCAAGCAGTAGTTAGTATTTATTCCACTGCAATCTGTAGGTCAAAGTCAAATATTTGCAGCTTTATTCTATGGAGGACAAAAAGCAAGCATTACCATAACAGTATAGTTTTGTATCACAACAGAAATATTGAAAGAGATTATTATTCATTATTCTGCTGAATAATGAAACATTTTGTAAGTGGAAAGAAAATCACATATAATGCAGTTCTATTTTTGCAAAACAAATAACAGTAGAACAAAACCCCTACAATATTACTATCCATTAATGCAACAATATCTGTACTTGGAGTGTTGCAAAATGCATAATTACAATATAAACAATTTCCAGAGAGGAGTCTTGTGTGGTCATACTTTAAAACAGAAAAGCATTTTGGCATCAATAAAAAGATCTAACTATGACATATGTCAGAAGAAATATATGTGCTTCAATGAGCTGCTAATGCAAGTTCCAATCACCACAGTCTCAAGAGAAACAATCTCATTTAAAATTTGGCAGTCAATTCAAACTGTACTCTTTCTTTTCTCGTCTCCCCTAATTTAATATATAGCAATAAAAACATTTGGAAATAATTAGATGCCAAGTAACCATTAATAATTTACCTTGTGGCAAAGATCCAGTCACTGAAATCAAATATTTCAGTGCTTCCAAAGAAACTGGTAATGTGTCTTTTGTATTTAAGTTCTATAGTCTCCAAAGAACTTGAGAAATGCACTTATCTATATTCTGATATGTAATATAGGCAGAATTTGGCTATAGATAGACATGGTAAGGGCATCCTCTTCATGTTACAATGGGGATCATACAACCTTTGTTTTTCAGGGAGTATTTGTATGCTCTATGTTAACTGTCCAGGAACAGTTAAATAGCAGTAGTTACATCCAGTAAAGACACAACTATATTTTAAGTTATATGTACTGTCCCATGTTTGAAGCATTTACTCAATACTTTAATAATTATGCAAATAAATGATAAGATTATACATAAAATAAACATATATTACCAGATTATAAAGAGGAAATTTAATCCGAAAACAGGATTGTGTGTAGTACCTGTACTTCTGACTCCTCTAAAGCCTCCAGTCAGACAAGCAATGATCATGGTGAGCTACCCTCAGGTGAGACTGCAAGGTAGTCTGCAAATCCCTGTGAAGCCACTTATTCTCATTTCTTATCCTTTTTAAGCACCTAGCAGAAATCCTTGTATAAGTATTGTTCAAACACTATCTGTCAATAATTACTTATATAGTAAATATCATTACAAGTGCATTCCTTGTAATTCCATACTGACACTGATCATCCACTATTCATTCCCCTGAGTGAAGATTCAGAACAAATAACACAGAGCAGTGAACATTAGCATGTTTAGAACAAAAAAAGTCTTGAAATTTGTTAATACAAACTAGATATCCAGCACTGGCTATACTACGGAAAAGCCAGATACACTATTGAGAGAAGTGTCTGACTGTGATAGCTGGAGTAGCAAAAAAGGAATAAAATTCAATAGCACAAAGTACAGACTTGAGCCCTTAGGGACCAATAAAAGTATTTCTACCTTTAGGTAGAAATTTATCAGTCACAATTAATGAAAAGTAAAAGGATTTGGATGTCTTACATAGTGACTGGATGGCTGCAAGCCACTGATGTGATATAGCTGTGAAAAAGGCTAACACAAAGCTTGTCTGTTTTCAGGAGATGTAGAGAGATCCTGCTATCCTTTACAGCCCTCCTGAGACCTCAGTTAAAGCATCACTGTCATCCACAATTAAGAAAGACCAATTCTATCTGAAAGATTAATGAAGGCCAATACAGCAATGTTATGAATGAAGAACCTGTCTTTAAATGCAGTAAGTAAAAGAGTTTGGCTTAGGAGGACAAAGACTAGATGTTATATGGTTACTTGGCCTAAATGTATTGGCATTTCCACTCCAGAAAGGTACAAGTTCTAAGTAGGCTAAATGTGGGTAGGAAACAATCAGTTATTTACAGGCCTTGAGGACTGAAAATTGCAAGGTGAGTATCTACTCATCAGATTTTGGAATAAAAAAAATTAGAAGTAGGACAATGGATCAGATTCTGGTGAAAAAAATAGAATTAGGACAATGGAGTTTGCTTTCTGAAAATGGAGTTTGATTAGTTTATGAAAGAAGCTATTCAAATACCTCTTGAAGATATTGAGAAATAGGATTTGGTGACCCAGGAACTCCTTCCCAGTTTTGTGCTCTCATAAGGAACTAGCTACTACAAAACAAAGATTACATAAAACGAGTCTTACTGATGAATATTAAGTATTTTATCTGACCTTGTCTTGTTTAATGCTTGTTGGAATGTGTTTGGACTCAAGTTTAATTAAGTATTTAGGATCTCTGATCTTATTAATCTAGTAACTTCCTATTAGATTCAATAATTCATTTATTTGGTAATGAAGGAACTTTAAAAAATTTCAGGAGCTCTAATTTCAAATAGGAACTGTGTCACAGACAACACTGGGAAAGGGCAAGATAAGAACCTGGGGAGGATGATCAGGTGTAGAACAGAGCAGTGTTGTCCATAATAAGAGACTTTATCAGCCTAAAGAGTTCTAAGGCAGAAAAGGCCACTAACTTTACTTCTACTGTATGAAAAAAGACCCATTAAAATTTACTCTATTATCCACGATATTAACTTCAATAACAAGTATTGTACTTGACTATAACGTGTTTGGCTATCACATAAATTCTAGGAGTGCATCCAGTCTTGACTCAAAGGCGTCAAGAAAGGGTGAATTCATCAATTCTACTGGTAGTTTGTTCCAGTGATTAATCATGCCTAGTGTAAAAAGTGTGTAGTGCATTCCTAATTGGAATTTGTCTGCAAGATTAAAGACCCATTTTATATCTGGTGTTTCCTCCCAGCAGAGGTTTATATATTCTGCAGTGAAGCCAATGTTTAAGCTCTGTCTATACGACACTCTGGCACTGTCCCAACTCCTTATCAGAGTGAGACTAAGGCGTATGTCGTTCCCCTCCCGTCACCTGCACTCTGACTTCTTTGTAAACAAAATCCTGGCTTCCAAGCAACATAGAAACCATAAGTCTGGACTACTAGAAAATCTCAACTCCATGGCATTTTCTTTTTCCAGCAGATAAATTAGATGAAATCACAGTATTTTTTGTTCATCAGAGAAACAACTTTTACCATAAAATATAATTTTTCAGCCTGGGAAAAAAATGGTTGCTCTTCTTCATGTTGTACAGGATTTCAGTGTTACTTTAAAACTCATTTTATATTACTACTTTATATTATATTCCATTACTAGTCTCACCAATGTCATGACCCTGGTGAAAATCACCTTTCTGTTCTTACTTCATTAACACTTTCAAAAGATACTCTTATTGGTTTTTCCACATAACTATAATGGGAGGTCAGATTCAATCACTCATCTCTTATGACCCTACATACTTTCCAGTCTTTGTCTTTTCCTAGTATGCAGTTTCTTCTCTCTTGGTGTGATAGCTATTCAATATTCTATTAAATCCTAGTTAATATTGTGGTCTGGAGGAAATCTAGCATGGAACAGTATCCTTAACAACTAGCTTTTTCATGACCTTGAAAATGTGTTTCCAGGATGATTTTGGATTTTTTCTTCTTGCTTTATTTTGGCAAAGTGATAAAAAAAATAAACAGGAAGAGAAAGTGAAACACTATTTGTTCACAAAACAGAACTGATTTTTAACTAAATTTAATATCTTTAACAAATCTCAGCAGTAACTAAATGATCATGAGAACTAAATTACCCTCCACCCCAGAGACAAACAGAGCAGAGTGGATTAGCATAGTGGTTCCCTTTCCCAGCTACATTTTCAGGAGACAAATCCTGAAGGGTCAGTTGTCTGAGCATTTTACCCTGTGCTTTTGTGATGTCGCATTGTGCATTGCATTCTGTAACACCTGGGATATTTGCAGTATCTCTGAGATGCACACAAATGTCTGTGATAAACCAAATCTTCCAGCATTATGCTTGGGAAAAGAGTCAGTGCCTGAATGACTGGCTCCTGTGATGGATGTTAGCAGTCAGGTCTTTCAAACCGAAGCCAAAATGCAGATATTGTTAAGCACACATAATGTGGTTTGCTAACAGTGGGTGAACTTCATAAGTCTCAGATATTAGGATGGGCAAGCACTCTAAAGGGTGTCAACTTTGTACAAATGAAAAACTATAAAAATCTTTTTCTGCTACCAGATTTTTAAAAGAAAATCCTAAACTGATCTTTCAGTAGGATTTTATGCTGATTGTTAAGTAATAGTCTTATTTATATTTTGTCTGTAGCTGACTGTCCCAAAACAGAGAGAGACATTTTGTGTGTAGTAGCTCAGAAAGGATATGATAAAGCCAGGAAAACACAGAGAAGGCTGAAATGGATGATTCCTAGTATGGACTGACTCGCCTGCTAAAAGCAACTAAGTTATGTAGGACCAAGTTATCTTTGACTTTTCATGCTGGAAAAAGTTACTCCTGAAGAAAATGAAAATTAATGAATGACAAGGATAGGGTGAATAAGAGATTATTGCTTCCTATCTTCTCCAGTATAGGAAGAACTGGGGGTCACCTATTAAACTTATCGTGTGGCAGGTTCAAATCAAAGGCAAAAGTGATTTTTCTCAACAAACACAATTAGCTATGGAGAGTTTCACTATCACAGTGCATGTTGTGAATGCCACAAGTTTTACACATGCTCTAATGAAAACTGAACAGAACAATATTACGCTGAAGTTACTAAATGTGCAGACATTGTGCAATTCTCAGAAAATATTGAAGCCTGGGAATATATTCAGGAAGCATATTCATGTTTAGTCTATTCCTATAATCTTTCCTAAACATTACTGTGTATTTATTTTATATAATATCCTATATAAAAGACCCTTTGTTATGGATCAAAAGGCCAGTGCATCATGAGACATCATCAACAGAGCTTGAGAAATTAAAATGTGTTGCAGTTCAATAGAGCATTTAAATGAATGCTTAGTTTGATTTCATTGAACCTTTGGTTTATGCTTAACCTGTTTGTAGAATAGGAAATGAAACAACTTTCTGCTTAAGTCTTCTAAGGAAATAGAATCAGTGTTTGTACAACACAGCAAACCACAGACCTCTGGAAAGACCTGCACTGAGAAAGTATATCTTACATGCAGAATTGCATATGTTGAGGATGCTAAATTAGAGACTTTATGTGACAGACTAAAGGAGGGTAACATTTAAATGGAATCATTTTGTATTAATAACATCAGCTGTAAGCAATAATATATACCTGTACAGTCCAGGTTATATCTGTGTTCAGAATATGTTACAAGACCTCAGTCCTGCTGGACTAAAGATATGCACCTTTAAAGATATGCTAAGGATGTACCTCATATTACATTATCCCCACAGGGATCTCCTGGCTCATTAACTTCTTCTGCTTTGAGCAGTAATGTGGCACTAATCTTACCAAGGAAACAAACTTGCAAGTTCTGAAAGTCGCATCCTTGCCACTAGGAGCATATTTTTGTTCAGCTGGAGTTGGCATTTTGCCACAAGACTTTGGGAAAAGTCAGGAAATGTTTTTAACTAAATGCAATGAAAGTTAGAGATGTGTATCTGCAATATCTGCAGTAGCTTCTTAATTGTCTTAGGGTCATAAAAACGTCCAGGACTGGAGGAGCCTCAGGAGACGCAGGTTCTGGCTGGAAATTTTCCTTACTTTGGCTTTCCATGTGCTTTATGTTTGGTTTTCAGGTTCTTCTGGATGTCCAGATAAAGTCCACTGTACTTCTTATCAGTTATTAGAGCAGAGGTGCTCGGTACCATTTGGAAACTTAGTGACCAGATATGACACAGTGCCTCTGGTCTCGTGACTGGCCCTTGGAGGTTATGTGGATGCCCCAGGGTAACTCAAACAACACCAAAATTTTTAGGCACCTGAACTGATCCTTTAGGGTTGAGTCAATCTGAAATTAGCAGACCCGAAATACAGATGTCTGCATGGGCTGGAGCAGTGAGTTAGACATAGGGGTCTGGCCACCTTTGCTGGTTTATGGCCAGGGTACAGTTACTTTTCTTCAGAGTAGCTGGTGTGGGGCTGTGTTTGGGGTTTGTGCTGGAAACAGTCTTGATAACACAGGGATGTTTTTGTTGTTGCTGATCAGGGCTTACACAACACCAAGGCCGCCTCTGCTCCTCATCCCAGCAGTGAGGAGGCTGGGGGTGCACGAAGAGTTGGGAAGGGGACACAGATGGGACAGCTGACCCCAAATGACCCAAGGAACATCCCAGACCATATGTCATCATGTCCAGTACATAAAGCTGGGGAAGAAGAATGTTTGGAATTACAGCGTTTGAATTCCCAAGGAACCACTGAGTGTGATGGAGCCCTGCTTTCTTGTGCATGGCTCAACATTTGCCTGTCCATGGGAAGTGGTGAATTAACTCCTTGTTTGTCTTGTTTATGTGCTGTGCTTTGCTTTACCTATTAAACTGTCTTTATCTAAACCCACTTATTTTCTCACTTTTTTGTTTCCTATTCTCTTCCCCAGCCCACTGGGGAGAAGCAAGTGAGCAGCTGTGTGGGGCTTAGTTGTGAACTGGGGTTAAACCACAATAACACCTTAAATACCAGTCATTTTCAAAAGTGGATGCGAACAGGACTTCTGAAAAATTTGTGCCCCAATGAAGCAGCCTGTGAAGGTGAGTAGGACACTTCAAGACATCTCAGGGGCATGAGATATCTTGAATTCACCTACATTATGTAGGTGAATTTTACCCAAGGCATTTTATTCAAGGAAAGCTGAAAGGCCACCTAGGCTGCGTAGACTGCATTAACTAGAGGTCTAATGTCACTTTAGGCACTAAATCAGATCTCCAGCTCCCTCTTCAGAAGGAATAGGTCTTGTATAGGCCCTGTGTCAGCCACTGGTGCACCTTTGTCCTCTTGAATACTGCTAAATGTCTTCATTTGAGGAACTGAGCTGTATCTGAGATCTCCACTGACTACAATAGAAGTTCATAGCTTACCTCAGGTATTATCTACATGTCAGCATCTACACTGAGGTATTTTGCAGCACACATTGACTGCCTGAACACAGCTATGACGATGTATGAGACACCTGGGCTGTTTCACCTGTCCTGCAGCTGCTGCAGGCTTGTAGGTGTATCCCTGCACTGAAGACACCTAGATACAGATGCCCACATGTAGGTATCCATCACCACCAGGGACCATTAGGATATGCAAGGAATCTGCACAGGAGTGTGTGGCATGCCATGATGTTTGTAGGAAAACCATATCCTTTTGGAGTATCAGCTAGAATTGGAATGTCAGGCAATAATACTACATGCCCAGACTTTGTCAGCTGAATCAAGCTACTGCATTTTAGGAAAGTAACTCATTTGTTTAAGCATAGAGCCACCTGATATGTCCTAGAATATTCAGGATGTCCATATGGAGACACTATGCCATTCCAGGAAATCATGTATGACATGAGATGCTTCTGTTTAGGCAAGTGCTGAAGTTGATTCCCACCCTAAATGTCACTTTTATCTACATTAGTACTCTGATAATGTTCACAAATGTATCAGCATGCTTTAAGCTGACATTTAGACCCTACTTAATTAAAACCAGGTTTTTAATCAAGAACTTTCTTAATTTCCTCCTTATGAGTGTTAATATGATTTTGTAAATCATTCATTTTTATCAGTGCTGTGTCAATGGCGAGGCTTTTCAAAACACTTCTTGCCCAAAGAGTTTAGGTGCATGGAGTAGTGTAGCCCATGATAAGATTCACACAGAAAGCTATTCCATCATGAATTCTTTTCTGCAAGGATTTTAAGCCTGCAGGCTGCACTTACAGATAAAAGAGAATCTTGGAAGTGAGTAGCATCTAATTTGAAGTACCCTTTTATTTTGTTCTAATAGCATTGCTTTAAAAAGATTTCTCATTTTTATGGGATCTTTGTGAACAAATACTTATAAATTCATGAGTTTTTTTCTTTCCTTAAATTACAAAACAGCAAAAAAATGGCTTAATTCAAATGACATCTTCTGATGGAAAACTGAAAAACAGCGTAAAAAAAATAACAGCTTTGATAAGGTTTTCATTCATTCAACTGTTTACAAATTTGTATTGCCAAGTTTTCTTCTTTAGAAACACAAAGTATAGTACATTTTGCCCCAGAAGGGAATACAATGACTGATGGTCTCCATCAAGATTTTGTTGGCTCTGTGTATAAGGCCCAAACTTCACATTATGCTGTACTTGTGGTTATTGAACCTCTGACAGCTGTAACTGTGGAACAGAAGTGAGTGATCTGAGTCTGAGCAGGTTGTAGAACACTTGCTGGGTAATATATTATTCAAATTATGTGATTCCTGAACAGTCTTAAAAACTGTCAGTGGACTAGACTGGTTATCAGAGGAATTAAACAGCACATTTTGCTCAGTTCTCTGCTGTGCTAAAACATCCTACTTAGCTGAGGTGTCCTTGTTGCTTCACAAGCTAATTTACTTAGAGCTAGTTTGAATATATCCACATAACACTGCATTTTGTAGCAACACCTAAGTTGGAGCAAATAACTCCTAGTGTCCATCTTTCCAGACAATACACAAATTAATTTTGCAAGCAATGCAACCAGGACATTTTGTTTTTCTGTGTCTTTCTAGGTGATATTTAAGATCTAATTTTCCAAAATAAAGATTGAAGACATTTCAGAACTCAAGAAGTCTCTCATGTGTCAAATTATCATGTGTATACCAGTAAATACGCCCTGATAATCTCAAAAGATTAAAAGTGTTTCCATAAACTGGAGTTGAAAAAGATTTGGGGGAAATTAAAGGGAATACACTGGTGCAAGAGACAGATAGAAAACTGTTAAACTCTTAAAGCTGGTCTCATGATTTTAAATTATTGCATTCATGCTAAAATAAAGTGTCTTCAAAGGACAAGACATCTGTTTCATACTGGCAAATACATCTGCTCAGCAAACCATGTCCTTAAGTCAAGGGACTTGAAATCTATATGAAAATCATTCAGTATTTGAGGAACGATGCAGAAACAGTTACTATGAATGTAAAATATTTCTAAACCTTGTCCACAAAGTGATTTCACTAACACATACCTCAAAGAGAGGGAAAGACAAAAATAATAATCACAGTTACAATCTCTTAACTTCCCATATAACATTGGACACAGGATCTTAGGATCTGATTATCTGCATGAAGTAATATATTGGAACAACCTGGTCTAATGAAGATGTCCCTGTCACGGGCTTTGGAATTAGATGCGACTTTGTCATTTAGTTGAGACTAATGCCTATATTTTAGTCTTTCAAAGCTTTTGGTTTGAGAAAGATTTTCATTCATAAGGAATGTTCTGTGCTTTTCCACTTAGTATGAGTAAATTCTGTTATTTCTACTTGTCTAGCTTCAGTTCTAGGTGTTGCATCCTCTTAAACATTCTTCCATTGTAATGAAGTAATGAAGCCATGAAAAATAGTCTCTATTTGTAGGTATTAGAGACGGTGAATAAACCACTGCTAAACTCCTCTGAACTTAGCTAATAGAAAAGTTTATGTTTCTCCCAGAGAGGCCAAGCTCACACATCTGTCGCATTCAGTAGCTATTATGGATGGGTTTTTAATTCTGTGATGAATATGATTCAAATTTTTTTTATTGTTTTGTTTCAGAAAGAACTGCTTGAATTTAAGTATCAGACCTGAGACGCAGGTAAATAAAAATAAAAGCTGTGGTATGAACCTCCACTGTGATAGCTACTGTAGCTCTCTATATGGCTTCTTTACCTTCAAAACAGGAACCGTGTAGCAGTATGCAGGCAGACTGACACCTTCACCTATACACTGGGTTGCTGAGAGGAAAGGTTTCTTTAAGGCCAGTGACTGTGACGTAGGTGCTGAACTACAGGTTCCCCACCTAGTAACCTGTTCATCTGCCCATACATCACAGTCCAGTGCTGCAAGTCTCTAATAAGAGCACTGGGCTTTAACTGAACCCTTCACAGCATAAATACTTGCCTTGTCCGGGAGCTATTCCATGTCTAATACACAATCAGTAATAAAAGAAAAATAAAGCAAAAATGACTGGGCAACGTCTTCATCCTGCAGCTTGTTCTTCTCTGCAGCAAATCCACATGATGGTACTTCTTCTCTTGCAGAGGTCTGATGATGCAGCAGCAACAAAGAAATGTCAATTAGCACTTCCACTGAAAGCAGAAAATCCCATATAGATGGATCCTCACTGCCTTTATGAAAGATTATATATATATATGTTTATATCCAGTTCCTACGAGCATATCCGATCAAAATGATTTTACAGTAGTTAAATATAGACGATGTTTTCTTTCTTCTGGAAAGAATCAATGCCAGGAAATAATAGAAGGAACAAGGTAAATTATGGCAAGACAAAAAAGTATTTACACAGACCTTCCAGAATGTGCTGATTAAGAGAAACACTTAAGCTTTACTTGATTCCTTCTTTGAGATAAAGGGGTCTAATCAAGAGCTGTAAGTACACCCAGAAGGCCAATCTGAACACTCTGCTGAATAGATTGCCATGAAAACTTCAATTTGCAGAGAAACCTGATAGTTTTATAAAAGGTAGACTTGGAGGGAGTGTCTGGTTTGCTGTCTTTTAGAATCACAGAATGGTTTGGGTTGGAAGGAACCTTAAAGATCATGCAGTTCCAACCCCCTGCCATGGGCAGGGACACCTTCAACTATCCCAGGTTGCTCCAAGCCCTATCCAACCTGACCTTGAACACTTCCAGGGATGAGGCAGCCACAGCTTCCCTGGGCAACATGTGCCAGGGCCTCACCACCCTGACAGCAGAGATTTTCTTCCTAATATCTAATCCAAACCTATTCTCTTACAATTTAAAGCCATTTTAGATATTTCCTCCATTTCGATTCCTGTTTCTTTTGTATAGCAGTCAGAAAAAGATGGAAATACCTCGATGGGATCAGTGGTATTGCCATGGACTAATAGATTTCTAGAGATGATCATCAGTTTAAAAGTGAGCTACATAGCAGCCCCAAGGTTGTGACAAATGGTCAGCAATGAAGAAAAAAAGGTAAGGCAGGTGTTAAAAATATTTAATTACTTACAGAGCAAGGCAAGAGGAAAAACTCCATACTTTTAAAAAGTGTGGACAACTAGTGCTCAAAGTTTAACTAATTTATGACCATGAATACAGGCGTAAAGTATGAGAAAGGATGAATTAAAACATTGATGCAGACTATGAATTTTGGAGTCTTCAGGATCAGTCTCCTTGGAAAGAAGTATTACACATTTTTCTGGATGGGACATTGGTATCAAAGTTAGGTAGCAGTGACAGCAGAATGATTTTTGTTGCTGTGCCATCTTGGGGAGACTGGAAAAAATCCTGACAGGTACAACTGCAATTTTTTAAAACCTTGTAGCCTCCTTGTCATTTCATTTTCTCCTGTCCTTGTAACCATTCACCTCCTGTCTTCTCTTACCAATC